TCCATAGTGCTACTGCCTCAGAAACCCAAGAAGGGATCACTATGAGTTGGGGCCTACTCAACAGCATATGACAACAACAGCAACAACAACAACAACAACAACAACAACAACAGATAGACAGGTAGATAGACAGGCCACAATAACAGAGTATTCTATTAATGTGATAAAGGTGTCTTTTAATTTTCTATTTATGCCTTACTTTTACTTGATTGAGGAGCTCTGGTGGCATAGTGCTATGGCATTTGACTGCTAACCAGAAGGCTGGTGGTTCAAACCCACCAGCTGCTCCTCGGAAGGAAGATTGGACAATCTATTTCCCTAGTGATTCTGCCTCGGAAACCCAAGGAGGGCCCATTATCAGTCAAGGAAATGCAAATTAAATGTGAATTTAATCAGGGTGTGCCATGTAATTGCTGCATCAGAACTGTGGGTAATTGTTGTCATATTGCCTCCTTTTTTTAAAATTTTTTCTTTTTTTTCCATTTCTTCTTTTTATTCATTTGATTTTCTGCTCTTTCTCTTCTTCTTCCTTTATTGCTATCTGTATTTTCATCCTACCTATTTTTTCATCCTTTTCCTCTCTTTTGTGATTCTTCCCCCACCGCCATGGTCTATCCCATTGGAGGCAGACATTGTTTCCCCACTAGTCAATTGTTGTTGACTGCCACATCTACCACCTACCACCCAATGAGTGAATGGCATTAGCCACTGCACCACTGGATCAATCACAAACAGTGGACAGCACCTGTTTACCCTACCCACAGCTGCTCTTCACAACCAGCAAACAGAGACTCATGCCCACAATCCCACCAGTTGCTCCACCTATCTGGAGACAGGTAGGGAGCTCCTCAGTACTTCCAAACCAGAGACCAAAGGAGTACACAAGCCCTTCTCACCCAGATACATCAAAATAAAACAAAAGAAAAAAATCAGGGCGAAACAAACCAACAAATAAAAACAACTCCAAAATGTCTTGGATGCAACAGAAGACATCAAACCAAACAGGACAAGATAGCAAAAGTAAGTGACAAAACTAAAGAACCAGGAAACCTGTCTGAGAAAGACTAGGTAATAGAACTACTTGATAAATAATTCAAAAGATTTATAGTAAGACTTTCTAAGAGATCAAGAAAAGCACATAGAAAATAAAGGAAAACACAGACAATATACTAGAAAAATTCAGGAAACCAAAATAAGAGCAAAATGACAAAATAAATAAACAATTATAAACCATACAAAAACAGCAATTAGGAATCCAAAAGATTAGCACTAAATTACTATGGAGATAAGGAACACAGTGGAAAGATGAAAGAGTAGAATTGAGTCAATAAAAGACCAGATCAATGAATTAGAAGACAAATAACTTGACACCAATTTGTATGAGGAAAAATTATAAAAAAGAATGGAGAAAAATGAAAAAAGGTCTAAGAATTATATGGGATACTATCAAGAGAAAAAAATTATCTGTGATTGGAATTGCAGAACAAAAGGATGCAAAACAAACAAACAAACAAATGAAAAAACCCACAGAGAGAATTGCCAAAGATTTGCTAGCAGAAAACTTCCCTAATATTATGAAAGGTGAAAAGATATACACCTAAGAAGCTCAGCAAAACCTCTCAGGATAGATTCCAAAAGAAGTCACTAAGACATATCATAATCAAATTTCCCAAAACCAAAGACAATGAAAGAATCTTGAGAGCAGCTTGAGGAAAATGAAACGTTACCTACAAAGGGAAACCAATAAGACTAAGCTCAGATTTCTCAGCAGTAACCATGCAGGCAAGACAGTAATGGGATGACATATAAAATCCTGAAAGGAAAAATAAAGTTATCAATCAAGAATTATATATCTAGTAAAACAATTTCAAAATATAATGGTGAAATTAGGACATTTCCAGATAAACAGAAATTAAGGGAATTTATAAAAAAGCAGACCAATCTTACAAGAGATGCTAAAGGGAGTCCTTCAAACAGGAAACAACTGGAGACACATGACAGCATCACCCAGAAACCAACCCAGAAAAAGAATCCTCAAAATTAAAATAAACCTACAAGAATGAAAGTAGGGAGCCAGAGGTGTCAATATTTAATATGAAGACAAGTAGAAAGTGGAAAGAGGAAGTAAATGGTATAATTACAGATCTTCCAAATGGAGAGGAAGTCAGGACAATATAAAATAGAATAGATTGTTTTGAACCTAGGAAGATAAAAATAAATTACAGGGTAACCAGAAAAAAGTTAATAAATCCAACCAAAATAAGAAGATTATAAGGACTTAGTAAACACAAAATCAACAGCAATGATTTAAATGAGAAGAAAATCTGAAAACAAAATGAACTCAACACAGAAAATATGTAGAACAAAGAAATCACCAGCACCACAATAAAAAAAGCACAAAAGAATGACACCAATAATTTCATATCTATCAATAATTATACTTAATAAAAATGGATTAAATGCACTAGTCAAGAGAGAGTGGCAGAATTGAAAATGGAGCCCATCAATATGCTGCATATGAGATTCACCTTAGACACAAAGATAAAAAATTAAAAATCAAAGAATGAAATAAAATATAGTAAGTAATAAAAATACCAAACTCACTGCCATCAAGTTGATTCCAACTCATAGTGACCCCTATTGGGTTTCTGAGGCAATAAATCTTTATAGAAATAGATTGCTCCATCTTCCTTCCACAGAATGGCTGGTGGGTTTGACCTTTCGGTTAGCGGCCAAACATCTTATCCGTTATACCACCAGAGCTCCTTATATTAAGCAATAGGCAACCAAAAAAGAGCAAGAGAAGTAGTATTGATTTCTGATAAAACAGACCAACTTTACAAGAAACAGCAACATTAGACAACAACTGGGGATTAAGACACATGTAAACATCACACAGAAACCAACCCAGAAAAGGCAAAAACCAGTATAAGGGACAAGGAAAGGCATTATATAATGATTAAAGGGTCAATCCAGCAAGAGGACATAACCATATATAACCATATTAAATATCTATGTTTCCAAGGAAAAAGTCCCAAAATATGTAAAACAAACATTAAGATAAATGAAAAGACAAATAGACTACTACACAATAATAGCAGGAGATATTAACACAGGAAGGAAAGAAGAACTAGAAAGAAACTCAATAAAAAACAGAATATCTAAGCAACAAATCAAACATCATGACTTCATGGACATACACAAAACATTTCATCCGATAAAAACACAACACATTATTCTCCAGTGCACATGAATCATATGTTAGTCCACAAAGAAAACCTCTATAAATTTAAAGACCATCAAAATAATACAAAGCATCTTCTTGGATGACAATATTATGAAATTAAAAATCAACAATAGGAAGATCAGGGGAAAATGAAATATATGGAAACTGAATAGCACCCTGCTTAAAAACTACTGGACAATAGAACAAGTGAAAAAGAAATAAAAAATTTTTCTAGAATCAAGGAAAAATGAAAACACAGCAAATCAAAACCTTTGGGACACAGCAAAAGCATTCCTCAAAGGTCAATTTATAGCAATAAACACACACATCTAAAAAGAAGAAGGAACCAAAAGGAACATCTTAACCCAAGATCTCCAACAATTAAAAAAAGAGCAGCAAAAAAGCCTCAGTCTCTAGAAGAACGAAATAATAGATTGGAGCAGAAATAAATGAAACAGAAAACTGAATAAAAATGAGAAGAATAACCAAAACTAGAAGTTGGTTCTTTGAAAATATTAACAAAAATGACAAATGACTGGAAAATTTAACAAAGGAAAATGAAGAGAATATACAATTAACATGAATAAGAAACAAAATAGGCAATGTCACAACAAAACCAACTGAAATAAAAAGGACAACACAATAACAGAACACTATGAAGAACTCTTCTTCAGTAAATATGAAAACCTAGAAGAAATGAACAATTTTCTAGAGATACTTGAACTACCTAATTGGCCACAGACTGAGGTAGAATATTTGAGCAGAACCATAACAAAAGAAAAGATTGTATAGGTCATTAAAAAAAAAAAAAAATCCCAGCAAAAAAGTGTGGCTTATACACCTTCACTGATGCATTCCACAAAACATTCAGAGGGAGTTGACACCAATTATACTCACACTATTCCATAACTCAGAAAAGGATGGAATACTCTCAAATTCCTTTTATGAAGTAAGCATAACCTTGATACCAAAGCCAGGGAAAGACATCACTGGAAAAGAAAATTACAGACCAATATCCCTCATGAACATAGACACAATATCCTCAACAATATTCTAGCAAATAGAATCCAACACCATATCAAAAAGGAAAATACATTATGACATAGTAGGATTCAACATTAGAAAGAACAATCTACATAATAAACCACATACAGAAAAAGAAAAAGAACTAATAATCCTATCAATCATTACAGAAAAAGAACTAATCATCCTATCAATCACTACAGAAAAGAGATATGATAAAAAGTGTCATCAATAAATGGGAGGGGCAAAGAAGAGGAAGGAAAAAGATACCAGTGCAGCCTGTTATGTCCTTCGTTGGGAACCCACTTTGTGTCACACATTTTAGAAAATCCTATACATACATCTTTCACCCTTAATCCCAATATTGTGATTTACAAGGGCGTTTTGAGGAGAGCTTCTGTCCTTGACTGCAGATTTAGGCAGTCACTGGTTTAGTAACTTGATTAGGGGCAATCTTAGGTTAAGTCTATCCAGGGAAAATCATTAGATTAATTTTCTTATTTGTTGTTTTGCTCTGTTTCCAAGCCAGAATGAATATGAATCATCTTCTCCACCTGCCCTCCATATAACTATATGAATTTGTAAGACACCTTTTGGCATGCAATATCAGGGACAACCTGGAAATTCTCTGTTGTCAACTCACCAGACATCGTCTTGTAATACACTAGTTTTACCTATCATTCTCTGTGTATGTCCAGCTACCTGAAATATTGAATATATTTTCTCAAGTTCCTCCTCACAGCTGCTTTCACCACATTGTTCTTCAGGCTATAGATGAGGGGATTCACTGAGGGAGTGATCACACTGTATTGCACAAAGATCAAATCCAATCGGGAATCTGAGTTTGGCATGACATAGCGAAAGAAGCCTGAGCCATAAAATAGGAGCACTGTAGTGAGGTGGGAGGAGCAGGTGGAGAAGGCTTTGTTTCTACCTGTGGAGGAGCTGATGCTCAGGATGGTGGAGACAATGAGGGTGTAAGAGAAAAAGATTAGGACACAAGTTCCAAGTGCATACAGGAGACTAGGACAGAGCAGAACCGAAACATGGGTGGAGACATCAGAGCAGGACAGAGGAAAGAGTGAGGGCAGCTCACAGCTGTAGTGGGGGATGGACCTATCTGCACAGAAATCCAAATTCAAAGCCAGGAGGATGTTGATCAGTGCGTCCACAAAACCTATGCTCCAGGATCCCCACACAAGCCCTTTACAGAGTTGGTTACTCATCATCTGGCCATAGAGCAGAGGATGGCAGATGTCAACATAGTGGTCATAGGCCATCACTGGAAGCAGGCAGGCTTCAGTGCCTCCTGTACCAAACAAAAAGAAGACTTGAGCTAGGCAACCCTCCATAGAGATAGTTTTCTTTTGAAACAGGAGATTCTCCAGCAGCTTGGGCACTGTGACAGAAGAGAAGCAAAGATCCACAAAGGAGAGGTGACTCAGGAAGGAGTACATGGGTCTCAGGAGGTGAGAATCCACCCTGATAACCAGCAACATCAGCAGGTTTCCCATCAGAGTCTGGAGGTAAATTCCTAGGAACAACACAAAGAGCAGAGCTTGGATCTTGAGATCAGCAGACAGCCCGAGGAGGACGAACTCAGTGATGGTACTGTGATCCCCCCCAGGCCATTTAAAGAATCTTTTATTCTGTGAAACAAGAACAGTAATTGGCCTGAACCCTCTCCACCCTGCCTGTGCCTTGAACATCCCTATCTTTTCCCTATACATTCCACTCTCCCCAGTCTCCATTTTATTAGAAAGATCTCAAAACTGCCCTTACTGATCCCTCAGTTATTTTTTTCCCCTCCCTGTCCACATAAGGGATTTGACTCCCCATAATCAATCATGTTAAGTTTTGATTCTCATAGTTATTCTCCTGCATGTTAATTTATGCCACCTTCTTCAGTTGGGCTTTTAATTTTGTTTAGTTTCATTGTCTTTTGTGGCTGTCCCACATCTCTGCTCTCCCTTATCCCTTATCCTTCAATTCTTTATTCTTTTCTTAATTCATTAGTGTTTAAGAGAGCATGTTGTGTCAGTTTAGATTTTTTTTTTTTGTCATTTACATGAAAATTTTACATATATTGTCTTATTTAATCCTAGGAGCAAAACTAAGAGACTAGTGTCTGTAACAATATGTGTGGCAGTTGGAAGGGAATTTAGTAGTACTGAAAGAGACTAGTTCTAAACCGTTTTAGAGATGAGAAAATTTAAGATCCCTAATAAAATATCTAGGGAACTCTGGTAGCATAGTGGCTAAGGCACTTGACTGCTAACCAGAAGGCTGGCGGTTCAAACCCACCAGCCACTCTTCGGAAGAAAGATGGGGCAATCTACTTCCATAGTGATACTGCCTCGGAAACCCAAGGAGGGGTCGCTATGGGTTGGGTCTGACTCGACGGCATATAACAACAACAACAATAAAATATCTAAGTTTCCACTGTAATTGGGTTTGAATCTATGTTATAGCATTGCAACACTTTTCCTTTTTTAATCAAAATTTCTCTTGGCTCTGCATATTGAGTAACATTAAATTTCTGCTTGGTTATCAAAGCCTCTATTAGTTGATATCAATTCCCCTTCCCACTCAGACCTTCCAGCATTTCCCCAATGGCCTACTGCCATCCCAAATAAAGATCAGACAGGATAATCACCACTGGTGATGACTTAAATTCAGTCAGTATGGACTCATTCCATTAGAATGACTATGTATCTACAAATAAATCGACACAACTCTGGACAATATAGCACATGGATATGTCTTTCAAATTTGCCTCATTTATGAACACTGTGATTATGTATCATGTATCTTTGAGCACACTATTTGCTCTGAATGGTTCTCCCCTCTTCTCTTCAGAAAGTAAAGATTGAGCCCGATGCCATTAGTTTCCTAACCTTTCCGGAGGCGTAAGACCATTTGGAGTTTGAACCCAGAATGCAAGGAGTCCCCATTATGGATGCTCACTCTTACCCAGGAAAGGAAAGTGTCCTTCCTGAGCCACTGAGTATAAGATTCTACCAAAGGGGAAAGGCAATAAAACACTGATACAGAGAGTGCTTAGCAAGGGGAAACACAGAAGGGGGGAGATTCAATGTGGAGGACATGCCTTAAAGGGGCATGATGAGAATTTGGATGAGAAAAACAAAGTTGAAAGAGCTGGGGAGAAGGAGAAAAAATATTCAGAGAAATCCTACCTCACTAACAAAACTCCTGTTTTTTTCTGGTACAGAATATATCTGTTTTTCTGTCCTGTCCAATAGATGAACATATCTGAGGTCAATAATTCTTCACATATAAAAGAACCTATTCTTGGGTTGACTGTAGAAATAACACATAGTATATGTTTTTCTTGTAAGAGGCCACAAATTAGCAAGAAATGGAATAGTCCAAACTCTTGATTATTTCAAAGGAAAATTACCAATATCCTCATCCTTGGTCCTCTTCCCCACTAGCCACAGAGAAAATACTCAACAACAGAAGTGTAGAATTTCTCTCAGTTATCTCAGACTCTGTCACTGAAATATCTCCTTGTTTCTTTTCCTTATAAATCTAAACAAACTACTAAAAGTAACTGAAACATTCAGATCTAACCTTTTGGAAGAGTCCTATGTATTGCAAATGGTTAAGATCTTGACCATTAACCAAAAAGATTGGTGGTTTGAACCCACCCAGAGGCACCTTGAAATACAGGCCTGGTGATCTGCTTGTGAAAGGTCACAGCCTTTCTACTCTGAACACATGAGAACTCCATGAGTCAGAACCAACTCAAGGGCAACAACAACATAACCTTTTAGGGCGGCACCTATATTTAGAAAGTCAGTGTCTTGGCCACTGGAGCCTGGCAGACGAGGGATATCCGGCCAATGATGTGAAGTCTCAGTTTGAAGCCAGATTTTAGCTCATTATTTAAATAATGGTCACTTTCAAAGAAGCACAAAGATTTTCTAACAGGTGGTGCTTTTGTGTCTTCTGTGTGGATACTTTTTTAAACTTCTGAGGGATTTCTTGGCAATTCTCGGTAAGTAAGGTATTCTTCTTGCTCTTGAAAAACTTACATTTTGGGCAGGAAACTTAACCATGTGTCTAAAACGTTCCTCTTCAGAGAATAAATTCAACCCAAAACAGGATTTTTTTGTTTAACTTTATCTCACAATATTGACTGAATTGATCAGCTAAAATATTTTTTTGTAAGTAGTCTCTTATTAAAATGCTATTTTGCTGTGAATTTTCCCTTATCTGGTGAATATTAATTATAATATTAACACATCTATAAAATACATATATATATGTTGTTATTGTTAAGTGCTGTCGAGTCGTTTCCGACTCATAGCGACCCCATGAATAGCAGAACGAAACAGCCTAAACCCGTGCCAGCTCAATGATCCCTGCTATACTTGAGTCCATTGTTGCAGCCACCGTGTCAATCCATCTCGTTGAGGGCCTTCCCCTCTTTTGTCGACTCTCCACCTTACCAAGCATGACATCTTTCTCCAGGGAATGGTCACTTCGGACAACATGACCAAAGTAGGAGAAACAAAGTCTGGCCATTCTCGCTTCCAAGGAGCATTTCGGCTGCACTTTCTCCAGGACAGATCTGTTAGTTCTTTCAGCAGTCCATGGTACTTTCAGCATTCTTCACCA